GTAGTAAGTTAGTAGAACTATCGGTAGATTCCACATCGGAGCGTAGTACTACTACGCACTGCTAGTATCATACTAGTAGTACAGTACGTCGAACTCATTCCATATGCTCATCTGCTACTACTCTGGTCATTCCAACCTTACTGACAATACTACTGAACAGGTACAAACCACTTATAATCGACAGGGTGGATGGCACGAAATCGGTCTCACGGCCTCCGGATAATCCATTGCGCAAAAGTTGCGCACTCCAAACTATCTGACGTGACGGATAGTCTTTTTATCTTCAAAATTGTATGTGACCAACCATACGGTTTCCAAATGTAACGCAACACCAGCGCAAGAATTTTTGCGTGGTTCATTGGATTATCCGGTATATGTATATATTACGTCATCCAAAAACTTCCAACTGGCAAATCGAAGAGTGGAGGTTTTATTATTTAACGTACTATTAATGTAGTTAAACCCAAAAACAAAATACGTTAAATACCGATTTCATGCGTTATATCACTGGAGTGGGAGGTTAAAGGTCCCAACTGCCTCCGGATATTATATACGGATAAGAGTCACATACAAAAATCAAGATACATCTCAGCGGCCACCCCTATGGCCAAATATCCAAACGCCCATGTAAAATACCGCTAGGTTAAATATCTATTTCAGGACCAATTCATCGCCAAATTTGAATCTGAGACGTAGAATTTCTTCACCACATTGAGATCTGTCGATTCATGGTCTCAATTTGCTGAAATTTAGAGTAATGAATATGAAATAGAAGTCAGAAAGTTTTGTGAAAAGGTGGTAGTTTATAGATGACGTGCATCATACCCGGAACTATTTAACGTTAGTTCAAGTAAAATGAGGTTTCGGCGATTTCAGACGGATTTGACGTCGTTTGTCGAATCTACCAAAAATACCTTGAAAATGTATTCTGACTCCAGGATCTGGATTATGATAATCTAGGTTTTTGAATCCGGATTATGTCAAAAAGTTGCACCGAACATGATTGGAACTCTGCCACCCAAATGCCGAAAATTCACAAGAATACTGGTATTCTATTGGCAACATCCTGGTCATTGGAACTTTTTCATTGGTTTACATTGGTTTTTGCTCCTTTTTCATTGGCTCCACTATCTATGACTGTTCTTTTTAGATAAAACGAAATACAATGTGCTATTTTGAATTATTCAAGTATTCTGACTGAAGTGTTGCAGCACGTCATGCACGAAAATAGGCTATGTAGACGCTTTATTGGCGGCGATTGCGCCGGGTTTACAGAATACGACGCGTTCCGCTGCAAGCTCAGCGCGCGATTATAGCATGATCATAGACGAAGAAGTACATGTAGCTACATATCATATAACTTTACTGGAGGGCAAGATATCCACTTCACCATTCAAGGTCCATTCGATGGTGCAGCGACTTCGTAGCGGGCTTTGACCAACACATTGAGATGTGCAAGGAGAGATACAAGTAGCTTGGTACCGACTTCTACAAGGATGAGATACAACTAACTGCATGTGTCTAAGTTTACGTAGTTTTTGTCAGTTGCATACACATCAGGTGTTGACTCAGCAAGTGCGGAGCCCATTCTGCGCTGCAGGAATGCAGTTCATCTCCCATAAAGATGAACACTGTGGGCGTGCGCAGAGGGAGACGCAGGAGATGGTAGAATCAAGAATGAATTGATAGCGTTAAGACTACTACGCTATCACTAAGCTACGCGCAACCAAACATTGATGTATCGTCGGGAGAACACCTTGGTTGCGCAAGAGGAC